GCCCACCTCTCTGAATGAAGAACTGTTATTATCTTTATTCTCTATTCTTCCCATAAATGTGTCCTTGTATTTAACCCATCTCTGATGGATCAGTGGGCAGGAGTGCAGCACCCATAGAGTATTTCCAGGCTCAGGCTGCTGGTTGTTGAGACACATAGAGCCATTTGGGAATCAAACCAGGAAACTTGCAGCATTCCCTGACGACCGTATTTTCACGACTATAAGGCACATATAAAGGTCTTGTTTTCACCTCAAAATGTGCAGTGCGCCCTGTGTGTTACTGCAGACGTTGAGACCACCATGAGAATGTTAATGGGGGAAGTGTGGGCGTGGATTGTGTATAAAAGAACAGGTATGTGCTTTATGCAGAACATTGTTGTCTTAACAACCCTGAAAATACCAAAGAGACAAGTCTATGAAGCACAGTTTAAACTGAAGGCTATCAGCTATGCAGAGGAACATGGAAAATGAGCAGCCGTGAGAGAATTCAAGATAAATGAATTTGTTTTATGAAACAGTAATGGCACACATAACTTAGACTGCGCCTTTTAGTACGGTGTGCCTTATGTTCGTGAAAATACGGTAGTTGCTGTGATTAAACAACAGCCCCTCACTTCCTGCTTTTAAGGTATTTAACTCAACGTGAACCAAGTCTGTATTATTTAATTAGAATTATAAATATTAATCTTCCTGGATTTTGATTGTAGAATATGCCTAACATTTGAATTAGAAGCTCAGCTCTAAATTAGCAGATAAATATTACTTCTAAAATGATTAATAGTGTGATGTTATGAATATTAAATATTGAACTGGGGAGAGCCTGGAAGGTGAAGGCAACTGTAGTTCTCGTGGTCATTGGAGAACCTGGGGCAGTAACCTTCACACTGGAGAAATGGCTCCAACTGATAAGTGGAGAAACATCAGAGATCTCAGTCCAGAAATGCTCAGTTCTAGGGACAGCTAAGAGACTAAGAAAAACCCCTTAAGCTTTTCTCTCTTAACATAGAAAGCTTCCACTTCCTCTAGCTGGATTTTGACGAACTGTGGATATCCAAACTGGGCTTTTATCAAATCAGCAAGGAAATCCAAAAGACACGCAACAGAAGACAGCAATTGGAAAATTAAACGCAAAAACATCACAATCCCTTATGTTGCTG